CAGAATAAACATGATATCACCGTACCCAAAATGGTAGCTTAAGGACATTCTTCGTAAGGTCCTCAGAGACTTCATTGCCTTGTCTACTGTCGAGATGCTGGTGCCGCCACGCAACCACTGACGCCATGGGTGCCAGGACATAGCAACCTTCCGTGGAATTCCATTACATTTAACGAGTTCATGATTTGGTATCTAACGAGTTTGATACTAAATATTTCACGAGTTTAATAAAAATAGTATTTCACGGAAGCGAGTTTAGTATTCTGTTTATTACTCTCCAACAATATTCGCGGTAGGTTTTATATCAGTGCGGCAGAAATACAATTATATATATGTAGTCCAAATCTTTTGCGTGTGAAATTTTCGTTACAATAACATCATTATCATAACAAATAATTATAATTATAACCTATGACTACTAATGATGTCGACTGCTAAGACATAAACGACTTACATGGAGAAATATAATAATATGATGTTATTGTTATGTAATCAGTGTATGTATTACATATATTATTGTGGAAATATTTGTGACAAGTCTTATGATCTATTTGAATGTCGATTATATTCAGTTTAGAGAGACGTGTCTAATAACGCAGTATTGTAAATAACAATATAAACTGTATATCAGAATCTGTGCAAAATATGTTATGCGCGTTTTTATGATTTTGTTGCGTGAAAAACGCAGGTTTCTGCGTTAACGCAAACACTGACTCCAATATAAATTGATAGAAACTGCCTGCAGCGTGATGACTCTTAGCTTTCCGCAAGTCAAGCAAGGTCTAATACCATTGTGACAGAGGTATTAGCAATGTGACGTCATATTGTAACCCATTATGACGTCATACGTCTAGCGGTATTACACTAGTGTAATATTGCCCTAAACGTCTATCACTGCAGTATCATCAACGGGCGAGTAATAAGGCTCCATATACAACATACGTGTCACGTGAGCATCCCTTGGTATCAACCTCTCCTCTTAACTTCATAGTGAAGTGTAGAAGTTACATCGTTATAACTGTACCTGTCAAATACGGGTAATGCCGACAAACATACATATTGGTGGCCATACACTAGGTTCGATCATCTGTTCAGCTAGCCGGAATATCACCACGAAACAAATGCATGAGTATTCGCTGGAGGGGACTGACAGGATCTAATGATCACTCACGGTGACCTGTAAACGAACATAGTCGACGTGCATGTTTGCTCATACTATCAACCACTACGTTTGTCTCAGATTTGTACAAGCTGTCGTCACACAGCCGGACCATTCCTATGTGAGTAGTTCAGAATTAGACATTTAGTATAACACAACATTCATATATTCTTCCTGGTAATGTCGACAACTCCTCTTTGTGTGTTAATTCCATGAAGACAATCACTTAATGTTTGTACCAGGAATTCCAGCTACCCACAGGATGAGATAGTATATCAGTGAGCGGATCGCTTGCTTCCCGTCAGGGTCACTGCCACAGCAGGGTCAGCAAACAGTTCTCTGAAAAGCAGTCTGGATATTCTACTTCCGTCTTTCAAGAATATACTAACTACTGTCCTTGAATGGGGCTATCATCATTATTGTCACAATGTCAAGGTCCAGACGCCAACAGTAACCAGGTACCTAAGCATGGTAATTAACATGGGCCTGCATATTTTGACAACTTTGTTCAGGACTGATGTCAGCTGCAACATTCCTCTACGTTTAGGTCAAACATAAACAAATATTAACTAGGACGCCAACTGTTTGTGATAACTGTTCCACTACAACATCATGAAACCATTGCCTCGCAATTAAGACAATGAGTCGAGCCGGGAGCTGAAACACAAGAATTGCAGCTGTTTCCGTATTTCAGTTATAACACGGCATGTAAGTAATTCAGTTATATCACGGCATGTAAGTATTTCAGTTATATCACGGCATGTAAGTATTTCAGTTATATCACGGCATGTACGTATTTCAGTTATATCACGGCATGTAAGTATTTCAGTTGTATCACGGCATGTAAGTATTTCAGTTATATCACGGCATGTAAGTATTTCAGTTATATCACGGCATGTAAGTATTTCAGTTATATCACGGCATGTAAGTATTTCAGTTATATCACGGCATGTAAGTATTTCAGTTCTATCACGGCATGTAAGTAATTCAGTTATAACACGATGAGTCCGTATTTCAGTTATATCACGGCATGTAAGTATTTCAGTTATATCACGGCATGTAAGTATTTCAGTTCTATCACGGCATGTAAGTAATCAGTTCTATCACGGCATGTAAGTAATTCAGTTATATAATGGCATGCAAGTATTTCAGTTCTATCACGGCATGTAAGTAATCAGTTCTATCACGGCATGTAAGTAATTCAGTTATATAATGGCATGCAAGTATTTCAGTTCTATCACGGCATGTAAGTAATTCAGTTCTATCACGGCATGTAAGTAATTCAGTTATATCACGGCATGTAAGTATTTCAGTTCTATTACGGCATGTAAGTAATTCAGTTCTATTACGGCATGTAAGTAATTCAGTTCTATCACGGCATGTAAGTAATTCAGTTCTATCACGGCATGTAAGTAATTCAGTTATATAATGGCATGCAAGTATTTCAGTTATATCACGGCATGTAAGTAATTCAGTTCTATCACGGCATGTAAGTAATTCAGTTCTATCACGGCATGTAAGTATTTCAGTTCTATCACGGCATGTAAGTAATTCAGTTATATAATGGCATGTAAGTAATTCAGTTCTATCACGGCATGTGAGTAATTCAGCTATATCACTTCATATAATTTCAGTTATAGCACGGTGGGTCCGTATTTCAGGTCCAGAAATGGGCTTCACGCATTGAACCCATGTCAGGAATTGAACCCGTGTCTGCAGCGAGTGGATGCTGTAACAATGATGGTACCCCACCGCCACTGTATGTTGTTTAACGCCGCACACTATACAGAAGTCTTTAAAAAGGTCACATGCAACCAAAAAATCAAACATAATTAAAACACAATTATCACTTATTCATGACATATAACATACATTGCTGGTTATGAAAAAGCATATAAACAAAATTATAAGCGTACAATCGCAAATCAAAAGTGCAATATTGTGTACTTGGGTTTACTTCCCAAGAAACGAAGCAGCAGGGATACCGAACCCAGTCAGAGTGGGTGGGTGTGCACTCAAGTGTAACGGCTGGTTCGTTAGCAGATGCCCTCACGGCTCATCGTGTGTGTATATAGAGATGTTGGGTTTTGTAAATACATGCTCATTTTTTGTGTATAACATTTTGCAGTCAACAGACATCACAACATGTCATGTGAAGAAGTATCACACCTGCTTGTCTGTGTAATTACATAATGTGACAGAGACCGAACTCGGGCCATAAATCAATGCGGTTTTGTTTATGGTGTATAGCCTGATAGGTGTTAAGTTCAAATTGCATGTGGTCAGTGATCGAAGTTGTGTATTGAATATTGTCATTAGCAGACAGGCAGGCAGACACATAGGTGTCAATAAAACAGACATTGAGTTTTGTCTGTGACAACAACATATCTAATCACAGTTAGAAATTCTGTCAACGCTAAATAATGACATTGCTTTTAAGTATCGAACTGAGAAAGTGACTAGGTAAGAAGAACGTGTGGTGAAATAGACAAATGAAATTATATAAACAGTTAAATCGGTAATGTACTGTAATAACATATAAAAAGCTCGCGCCTGTGAAATATCAACAAAATATTAGAAAAATAGCTCACACCAAAGCCTTCACCGAATATTCACCGGACAACCCGCTTCCCAGCTCAGCGAACCTATTTCACTGTGCAGCCCAGCTGTTAAAACCACTTGAATTCCCCCAAGCGCTGGGGGAAAATTAGTAAATTGTTTGAACTACGATTTCGCGCATTTTTTTTCACCTCGTTATTTTTCAACTTTTTAAGTTGAATTTGCATTTTTGATGATTTGTTTCGGTAAGTCCATACCGAAAGCTATCAGAATCTGCAAAGTTGTGTTTTACGTTGCATGTGACCTTAAAGTTTCAAGCGGAGGTTTGCACAAATGAACCCTGATAATGTACCTGATTAAGAACAAGTTACGTTTTAGAGAACATGACAAACGTGGAACCGTGTCATTTACAGAATCTCAGGATTACCATTCATTTTAGATCAATGCTTGTGATGCCAGTCATTGGATTGTCCGGTCCAGACCGGATTATTTAAACACCATGTCATAGGGATTGAATTCTTGTTCAACATCAATCAAACAGACAAATATTAACGGTCGGCCAGGAGACGAAACAAGTGACATTTGGACATCTGAGTTAGCTCTTTTACTCTGTGTGGTTCGGTTGTGTGAGGGAGTGAGTATCGGTTTATGCTGCTTTAAGCGTTATCTCAGCAGCATTACGGAAGAGGACTCCTATATGTTGTACCCATGAGAGGAATCAATCCCGGATCGTACAATTTACCAATTAGGCGACCACACCGTGCCCATTGGATCAGGATACTAGGAACAATGTGGGGTTCCAATAAACACGTGGCTGTGCTCCCACGTGGCCCTCCAGGGGTCTTAATGAACAGAGTGGGATAATGTAGGGTCGCGTTAGTGACACGAAAGTGACAAGAATATGCACCGCGGGATTATCCATTCTGTACCCTTCAGTTTGAGACAACCGATTTCGAGATAAAGACAATGGACTGTATGTCCTCAAATCTACATATACAACAACTCTGGCCCAGGTACACAGGAACCTTCTATTATTTACTGTTTGAAAGAAACCGTCCGAATGTCGCGATGACCCGCCCCCCAACAAAGAATATGTGCACCTGTCCTTTAAATTTCTGTAATTGATGTTGTGACGTCCGATCGATTTGTCAGCTGATATGAGTAACCCATATCTAAAGTTACACTTGCATGAGATTGCATTACATTAACCCAGTGACTCCGCCCATTTGTCCATATTTGGGAGCCCACTATCCACGGAAGACGATCGTTTCCCGGAAGGCCGAGCACTACAGTATATACACACGATACAATAATACCGTCAGAACAGTCGTTCACGAAGCAGCGCTGGTCTCGATGTGTCATTGACAATGAAAGTACCAGCGGGCTCAAATACCGGGGCAACTGTTCAGATGTCTGTGGACTGTTCTCCAGACATCCAGGGGACATCAGCTGTGAAAGGAGATGGACCGCAGCCTGTCCACAGGTCCAGTATCGGACAGTGTAGGTGCAGGTGCGCTCACGCCAGGTTGCAGAACTTTCTGCTGCCGTTGACTCTTGGTATAGCGGTGCTCGGACTTCTGGTTGCTGCACGTGCAAATTTCAGAGAGGTTAGCACGTGCAGATTAAGTGCAGAGGATAAACTATTGTTGCAAAAATTACAATCATTTAATACTCCACACAAGGGTGAAGATGAGGAAACAGAGGAAATTGATCTTAGCCCCCAAGAATTCCTGACAAGTCATTCTCAGCAGGTAGGTCAATTTGGACAACATTTAACATGATATTTCTGTCTGTATGTTGTCTGTTTGTGTGGAGTATGTCAACAAAGGGGAGGCAACTCACGTGAGTATAATACCCCATGACAAGGTTGTATTTCCACGAATTAGTTTCCTCGTATCTATTTTCGAGCTCAGCCGTAGCATTGCGTTTTGTTCAGGTAAGAAACTGTCGATAAGCAAATGCACTTCCTTGTGTGATCAGCTACCCGGGAGCTGACTGTAGAGATCACTGTGGTGGAGAAAACATGTAAACAAACACGGCATTACTTAGAGTCACAAATACGCTAGACTAGATGTCGCTTGCTTTGAAGTGTGTGTCAGATATCAACTACCCAGGGTGTCGGTACTGGCGTATGTGGGCTATACCTTACGATGTAGCTAGCTGCCCCTCAACAAGTAAACTCACAAACTATCGCTTGGAATAAATGATGTGCTCACATTTATACAATGACTGCGCATTAAAACAATTCATTAATAATATACATTATACATTCACAAGCATACACTCACATTTACATATAATGTTCATACAGAAACATACGCACACAAACACTGATTCAAACATACTCAAAAATACACTGAAAACACACACGAACACACACACACACACACACACACACACACTGTGTTATGGAGATGTTACAATGTGACGTCAGGAAGATACTGTACACATGTTTACGAGCCCAGCTGGTGGGTGTGTGGGTTTATTGGTGGGTGTAGGGGTGGGGATGTGACATTCTTCTTTCTGGCATCTTTCTACCCCACATTGTAATGTAGATATAATCTGATTTCGTTTTGTTCATTTTAGATCAACGACGTGGTTGAGGATGATGTCGGTGGCGACACCGTGGGCGGCTTGTCTCTCCTGCACCGTGTTGCACGAGCGGCAGGTACGACAGCGGCCCCTCGGCGCAAGTCCAAAAAATGTAAGTGTTTAGATGGTCGCGTTTGTATGTCACAGCGTTTGTTGGGCAACATCAACCGTCCACTGTAGCTTTGCTCGCTCACACATGTACATAACACATGGCATAATGTCAATGTTTATTTTTCGAATAAGGAGAACTTTCATATTTGTCCGGTGAAATCAGCTATGTATTTACAGATTTTACACAGAACTTTTAAACATAAAGACATTTATCTATTACAAGTGTAATTTTTTATCGATATTTTGACAACTTGAATTAGATTAAAATAGTCATGTAACACATATTTGTTTTGTTAATTGCTTTTAATCAGCAATGTTTATTTATTGATAACTGTTAATTAGTTTTTCTCATTTCTTGTCAGCTAAAAGGCGGAGGAAGGTGAGTGCATCTTTATTTGTTGACAATATTCTGAGGACATATCAACTAAATATATTGAAGTTTATTAAAGTTTACTGCTGTCTTCTGAATTATGTGTCATTGGTTATTATCAATAACAACAGCAATAACAATAGCAATAGCAATAGCAATCAAGGGCACGCTGATAAAGGATTCCTTTCACATTTTAGTTTACAATTTTTAAAAATTAAACAGCTAAAGAAGAATTAATATTTTGTGTCAGTGGCAAGAGACCTTAACCATTACGATTGTAACAAGTATTAGTAGCTGAACTTTGTTTCCCAGTCCAAGTCCAAGTCCAAGTCCATCCGTGCGGCCCACTACATCCCCAAGTTCTGGAAAGACAGGACGGAGGAGGAGTTTGGGCGTGGTCAGTATAACTAACAACTTGACAATCTTCATGTCACCTTCACGTGCACTCACATTTCCCTTTACACAAGCTAGTCTCAATCATGTGGTTTACGAATAATAGTTCTAATATGCTGGCTGTTCAAATGAGCTACTACTGATGTACTTGGCCGTTACATATAATATAGATTTGACAGTTTTACTCTCATAACAAACCATTTTGATGTTGACTTAACACAACTAGTTCAAAGTATTGTCTCGTCATCCGGATTTATGCCTTTTACACATTATCAGTTTGTGGTGGACTAACATATGTCTGTAAATACTTGATATAGTGTCGACCGACCTATTTCCCCCACGCTGTTCGTCTTTAGAAATACTAGAGTAGGAATAACGCCGAGTCATCAAGCAAACGGTTCCCTTTTGAACTATAACTTTTAGGTTCGGTGCATTGTGTCTTTTTAGTTTCAAAATACACAAATAAATTATGTTTTGAAGGAAAGTTGTACCCTTTCGTTGCAGATACAATGTGCATTAGTGTGGCTAAATGGGGCGGTCGGGCATGCAGAAACCGAACTCTTGAAATGAAATGTAATATTCTTCTTGACTTTTCTATGATCAATAGATATAGAGATATAACATTCCAATTAAACGTTTACTTGTTTATTGGCATTCCTGAACTGTATATGGGTCTTTTCAGTTTAATTGTTTAAAATTTCACTTGATAATTATAGCTAATATTTTTAAACATTCGAAAGCCATCGTTTGCATATAGCAGATGCTTGCAGATATTTCTGCATATAAATGCACTAGACAAAAGGTTGCACTTTATGAAGTTTTTTTTGCCTATTTGCAAAGTACACAATTTAGGTGCTTTTGGAAACCCTTTAGATTGGAGTAGATTCTGATGTCATTCCGCAAAATAAAAGATACGAAACTGTTATATAGTTTAATTTAGATTAGAACTGGCAGTGTAAACGGATTCGACAAAAGTGCCAAATGAGATACTATATTCACTCAGAAACCTTCAAAAACAAATGAAATCATACGTGTAAATATTATACATAAAATAATCTACCAAAATGTTATCGTCATTAAAAGTATTGTAAGTTTCACCGTATTACATACTGTTGTTTTCTGTTCAGCTGGGAGTATGAAGTTCTTCCACCCTGCCGACTGGGTGGCCAGGAACCGCCATATCAACATGCCCGCCACACAGGACGAGGACAGTGGGAAGTTCACGATCACGGAGAGCGGCCTGTACCTGTTATATAGCAGTGTGAGTGCCAGTGTGAGTGTCACGAGCGTGGGGGAGTGTGGAGTGTGAGTGGTTCTAATTAACTGCACTACGTCCATGCATAACGTCCGTCTAAAATATGCATTGGAAAAGTCCAATAAGAAGCAGAAGGTATAACTTGTACGTAAAGGGGCACAGAATGATGTTCATATCAAGAAACAATTGCCGTATTCATTTTAGGAGTAGCATACAGTGCGGTGACTGTACTAATTCTGTAATCACAACAATTCACGTGCAAGGACACATTCAGTAAAATATAGTTTTCCAGATAGTGGCATGTAGACTTGCACAAGTCTCTAAGGCAATCACCATTAGTTAATTATTTCCAAAACTATAAATAATAAGAACCCATTAACCCTCTAACAGACTGGTGTCCTGTGCTGTCTGCTTGTCTAGATGTGCCTCTTTAAACGATAGCAATACTATACATCCATGGACGTAGCATTCAGTACAGCCTTGGAGTAAGGCTAAACCCGGGCTTATCTGACACATGTCCACGTCTACGGTACGGTGCGTTATTGAGACCGTAGTAACATCTCAGTAACTTCCTGGTGCAGTGGTACAGCAACATCGTCAAGTTACTGCATCAGTACACGTGTTACCGAAAACACGCCAACATGTCCTGAATACTTGTTTTATACTGGAGACACGTTATGAGATCTTATATCACCTAAACTGTGATATTATATATTGTCAATTAATTCCATATCGATACCATCCGATTAGTTGCAACATGTTTGCAAAGTTGAATGTATACGGTTATCTGTCCATCTAAATTCAAACCTCTTGACAATATTTATGAATCTACTTGCAGCATAACTTTACATACATGGCAGATATTACTCATGTCAGAAAGTTTTTTGCCAATTTTCACATTTGTCAATTTACGAAGACACAATATAGTCTATTATGATATAATATAATCTTAATGATTAATCAAAAAAAATGCTTTTTGTTTACAGATTCTGTTCTACGACAGCAAGCTGAAACAAAGCCAGGCGATCATTAAGAACGGCCAGCGACTGTTTAAGTGTATGGAGGGGGTGGACTACATCAACATGACAGCTGGGAAGACCTTCAACTCCAAATACAGAACATGCAGTAACTCAGGTGAGGCCAGCTCGGATCAAAGGATCAAACATTTGTTCTCAATATGTCTTGAAAAACACCCTGACGGGATTCTGAGTACATAATGCCTCCCTCCAGAATATTAGGAGCTGGACTCGACAAGTGTGTATCGCTGTACTCAATGGACGATATGATACCGTGTATAATGACTTAAGTGTGAAGACATAAGAATATATGTAATGCTATTCTGTGTTTCCCCGTTATGTAGAATACAATAACAGTAAATGAAGGACATCTGGTAATGTTTGCTTCAACAAATGACAGTGTAATAAATAATGATATTATTTTGTAAAACCCAGGTGTGACATATCTCGAGAAGGGAGATGTGATATCCGTGGATCTCCTCTATGACAACACTGTCCTTGACCTATCAGAAGACTCGACATTCTTTGGCTTGGTGCAATTACTTCCGGGTCCGAAGAAGAAGAAATCCCGATCTTAGCCAGTACCCTACAGCATAGAGAACACTCGTCTGGCAGCAACATCAGCAACAACAGTAGCGGCAACAACAGCAGTGTGTGCGTGAACTATGCTGACAGTATTGACGTCATTCTTGACGTAATCAGGGCTGAGGGAAGACGTAGGTAGGCCACTCCCGTCCTACCCAGGACAACAATGTGTACAGTTTGTTTGCACTGTAAATATCAGAAACGAGCACTCGAACGTGTATATAGCTGCTATATTTCAGAATCTCTGTACATACAAATTTCGCGTCATTATTCACAGGACATTTCGCGTTCATACAACTATGTTTGTTGTGATGTTCTGCCTGACATTCAGTCCGCCCACACATTAACGAACATTGGATCCATTTACACTCATTCCAGTATCATATATGTACAATGACATGTGTTCATACAAACAAAACTAATCTACACTATGTAATTAACCTCGCCCATTCATGCAGTTAGAAAGGCTGTTAAGGGTTGGCATGCACGTGACATGACAGCATTCAGTCTTGAACTTATTATGATGATCATATATTTGTACATATTCATCATTATAGACGCGTCAGTGCTTTCACTACACTGTCAGAGACGGATTGTAAATATCGAGCTGTACATCACACAACCGTTGGACGACCCATGAGAAGGTTTAATGCATTTTGAACAACACGTCTGAACAACATGGAGAGAATGTCATTGTTCTTAAAGGTGCCTTTTGACACGGTAGGCAGTTATATGTAAATATGTAAATAAACCGAATAATTCTCCTTTCAAGTATTGAACAACAACACTGCTATCAGGAAGTGTTACAGTCTCTTCAGGGGTCATATTGCAGTGTTACAGTCTCTTCAGGGGTCATATTGCAGTGTTACAGTCTCTTCAGGGGTCATATTGCAGTGTTACAGTCTCTTCAGGGGTCATATTGCAGTGTTGTGGTCTCTTCAGGGGTCATATTGCAGTGTTGTGGTCTCTTCAGGGGTCATATTGCAGTGTTGTGGTCTCTTCAGGGGTCATATTGCAGTGTTGTGGTCTCTTCAGGGGGCATATTGCAGTGTTGTGGTCTCTTCAGGGGTCATATTGCAGTGTTGTGGTCTCTTCAGGGGTCATATTGCAGTGTTCCAGTCTCTTCAGGGGTCATATTGCAGTGTTGTGGTCTCTTCAGGGGGCATATTGCAGTGTTACAGTCTCTTCAGGGGTCATATTGCAGTGTTGTGGTCTCTTCAGGGGTCATATTGCAGTGTTCCAGTCTCTTCAGGGGTCATATTGCAATGCTGTGGTCTCTTCAGGGGGCATATTGCAGTGCTGTGGTCTCTTCAGGGGTCATATTGCAGTGCTGGGGTCTCTTCAGGGGTCGTATTGCAGTGCTGTGGTCTCTTCACGGGGACATATTGCAGTGTTATGGTCTCTTCAGGGGTCATATTGCAGTGCTGTGGTCTCTTCAGGGGGCATATTGCAGTGTTGTGGTCTCTTCAGGGGTCATATTGCAGTGTTGTGGTCTCTTCAGGGGTCATATTGCAGTGTTCCAGTCTCTTCAGGGGTCATATTGCAGTGTTGTGGTCTCTTCAGGGGGCATATTGCAGTGTTACAGTCTCTTCAGGGGTCATATTGCAGTGTTATGGTCTCTTCAGGGGTCATATTGCAGTGTTCCAGTCTCTTCAGGGGTCATATTGCAATGCTGTGGTCTCTTCAGGGGGCATATTGCAGTGCTGTGGTCTCTTCAGGGGTCATATTGCAGTGCTGGGGTCTCTTCAGGGGTCGTATTGCAGTGCTGTGGTCTCTTCACGGGGGCATATTGCAGTGTTATGGTCTCTTCAGGGGTCATATTGCAGTGTTATGGTCTCTTCAGGGGGCATATTGCAGTGCTGTGGTCTCTTCAAGGGGCATATTGCAGTGTTGTGGGATCTTCACGGGGTCATATTGCAGTGCTGTGGTCTCTTCAGGGGTCATATTGCAGTGTTATGGTCTCTTCAGGGGGCATATTGCAGTGTTATGGTCTCTTCAGGGATCATATTGCAGTGTTATGGTCTCTTCAGGGGTCATAGTACAGTGCTGTGGTCTCTTCAGGGGGCATATTGCAGTGCTGTGGTCTCTTCAGGGGGCATATTGCAGTGCTGTGGCCTCTTCAGGGGGCATATTGCAGTGCTGTGGTCTCTTCAGGGGGCATATTGCAGTGTTGTTGTCTCTTCACCGGGTCATATTGCAGTGTTATGGTCTCTTCAGGGGGCATATTGCAGTGCTGTGGTCTCTTCACGGGGGTTAAATTGCACTGTTGTGGTTTCTTCAGGGGGCATATTGCAGTGTTATGGTCTCTTCAGGGGGCATATTGCAGTGTTATGGTCTCTTCACGGGGGTTAAATTGCACTGTTGTGGTTTCTTCAGGGGGCATATTGCAGTGCTGTGGTCTCTTCACGGGGGTTAAATTGCAGTGTTGTGGTCTCTTCAGGGGGCATATTGCAGTGTTGTGGTCTCTTCACGGGGGTCATATTGCACTGTTGTGGTCTCTTCAGGGGGTCGTGTTGCAACGTTGTGGTCTCTGCCCTGGGATAATATTACAACGTTGCATGTAAGATTTATCAGTGGGTAGACGAAGCTGAACTGGACATCTGCCTCATTGTAAATATGTCATTAATAAAACCTTCTAATGTTATACTTTCTTTGTTTTTATTTAGACATGAATATGTTCATGGGATACTGATTGAAAGAAGGCATTGATTTTATGTGAGATGTAAGTCATTAAGACAAAATCTGCCTACTTGGCTTCACCTGACAAGTACTGTTTACCTTATCCTCACACTGACTCATAGCATTTGCAGGTCATGTGATATGTTATACCACAAGCCAAATGCCTCTTATACACCGAGATGACGTAATTGCATGTAATACACGATGTACGTAATTACATTCTGGTCAATGTAACCAGGTGGTGGATACTTCAAGGTCCTCTTACCTAGGAGTATGGTGACCATTCGATTTCTGAGATATGGGTTCCAAATTCCTGGAAAAATATCTTTTTTGAAAGAGTAAACAAAAATTCAAAATACTGTAATGTATTGCTACGTCCTTTGTATGTTACCAGTTCCATTGTGTGAGGTGTAAGGCAGGAGGTGTAGGTGTGTTGTATCAACGTAAACACGTTTACTGACTGTCACGGCCATATTTAATCGGGAGGAGAAAATGTGATGTCATCCCACCACGATGTTATGCATGTGTATCCACCACAAGTCTCCTAACCTACCGGGGGCCCTGGGAGTAAACACTGTCTGTAATTTTCTCGGAACTATATTGTTAAGTCAATTGTCGCAATCACTAATACTCGCCATTGAAATGCACTACACCGTGAGTTGGCGCACATAGCAACGACCTTCAATCGTAAACAAACAGGTAGGTAACGTGTGGAGCACCCTGACCCGGTGACCCACCTCGCGGTGAGGGGTAGACAGATAGAGCCAGCTATAGGATGACAACGTGACTGGTAGACCATGTTGAAGCTGGTAGGACACTGTGGATCTAACCACTGACTGTCCGTCATCAACAGCAGAGGTCTATGTACACACGGCAATACAGAAAAGGGCACATGTGAAATAGAACATATATCTGATTAATATGTCAGAGAAGGTGAACTTTGCCCGCGTGTTCGTGTCAGCTCTGTGTATAACACGATAAGCCTGCACACAGCTAGTGACAAGCTAGGAGGCGACACAATTAGTACTTCTTCTTTTTTCATCATAAAGAATGTAGGCCTCCGGCCAATGTTCATACATACGCGTGGCCAGTTAGCATATAATGTATATGACAATATAGAGAGAGAGAGAGAGAGAGAGAAAAAGAAAGAATAATAATTAATCAGCAGGTTATTCTGGAACAGCTTGCATAAAAGATATACATGGCCAGCTTTCTGACTACATTAACATCAGTTGATCCCAAAAGCATGTTAAATTTATCACGCGTAGGGTATGATATAAATGTAGTAGGTATATACCTCTCACGCAGTGTTTTATACCGAACACAAACCAACAAAGCGTGATACTCATCTTCGATGTAGCCTTCATTACACACAATTGTTAGGCGTTTGAGATATAACCCCGTTCCAAAGGTACCTTTAAAGAAAGTATAATTTCTAGCTTTAGAACTGCTGAGAAGAGAGTAGTGCTCGTCCTGTTCAAACGATCATTTTAATCTTGCCATAACTTCCGCAATAAAGGATCTTTTACTAATTATTGTTTGTGACTCCCATGTATAGCCAAATCAAAGTCGAAACAGTAAGTACTTCAATTTAGAAACCCAATTATTTTTACCATTATTAGCTGCTTGTAAAAGCATGATATAACACTTCTGTAGATATCTTACATTAGGCATTTGTAAGAATCTAATCCAAAATTTTATGGAACGTTTGAATGCAAAAATACACACAGGGTATTTGCCACATTCACCCAGTACTGTGTAAGTTGGTGTCGATGTCTTCACTCCAAGGAAGCGTTTACACGCAAACATATGAATGGTTTCTATGTTTGTTACACTATCTAACCCCCAAACCTCAGACCCATAAAGTATAATAGACATAATTTTGGTGTCAAATATCCTGAAATATATTTCAAACGGAATTGGTTTAAATCTATGTAATGTCCTTAATATGCCTAACATGACTTTTCTAGCCTTGGCAGCTGCACTTTTAGTATGTTTATCCCACGACAATGTTTTAGTAAATGTAACACCCAAATATTTATAGGATGGCACGCACTCGAGACGTTTTTCTCTATAATACCATCTTTCCCTTCTCGATAGAATACTCCCATTCTTGAAAACAACCACTTTAGCGGACACAACTGGAGTCGATATACATGTCACGGGAGTGTCTTGTGGCTACTCGGCATCGTATCCGGGCTTTAAGTTGGGTCAAACCGAAACATGAGTCTCATTAGCCTATTCAGACAATGAGCTACATTTCAGCCGATCCGAATTTTCTCGTGTGAAAGTGAAGATAAACATCACAAACAACTATGGTACCACAGAATTCCAATTCCTTGTTTCATAACAAAATAGTAGTTACAATGAATTTTTAATTTTAAACTTTAATAACACCGTATTTCTATATTTTAACCTTAACTAAGACGTCAAAGACTGCCCTTGTTTGATGAGGTCGAAAAATGATTCACATTGCATCTGACTCACTGGTTACACTTGTTATGTATTGTTTTGCGCTTATTCAGCGTAGTTCTGTAACGCACAATGTGGTTGATATAATATCAATTTCGTACCAGACCGCCAAACGTTTCTAGCGGCAGAGCCTCGTTTTGAGATTTCCACGATTTCCAGGTTTCTGTTTGTCAGAGCTCGCTGTACGACAAAGCACGCTGCACGACGTGTTTGCAAGGATCAGAAGAAGCGTAGTGTTGCAATAAACAAATGCTTAGATGTATCTAATAAAACTGATTAATATTTATGTATCAAGTTAAATGAATGGTCTCAAAATTCTGGTCTGGTTATTGTACTAAGTTGCGCAATAGGGCGGAACCCAGTCAACAGAAAACGAGACTGTTGTGTATTCAGTGTTTTGACTTGTATTGATTGGGTTTTGGTTCAGACGATCTTCCAAGATATACCATATTATTATAGAGATGGTACCGAACAAAACACCTCACTGAGCATGTGTCCTGGAAAATGTACTGTTATATACAATACATTATCATCTGTCTTTCATTATTTACTGTTATGTACAGCCCTAAACAGCTTTCTTACACCATTTACTGTTATATACAGTAGAGAGCATGTGTCTTACAACAATTACTGTTCTGTACAGTCGTGATCATGTGTCTTACAACATTTACTGTTATGTACAGTCGTGATCATGTGTCTTGCCAACACTTCAGTGTTATATACAGCCGTCAGCACGTGTCGCCAACACTTTCTTGTCATATAACGTACATGATAAGGTCACAAGAGTTCGAAGTGGGATTGGAAAAAAAATAACCGAGATATTTATTTCCATATAACTAAAATGAAAACTTTTAACATCTGCCTTATTGTACGTCTGTTGTCTGACATATGATGTATATTTACATATCTACACCAGAAAGTGTAGCTTATGTGCAATCAGTTCAGTCGTTATAGCATTTATCATACATGCGATGGAAGTCAAAGCCAATTCACTGCACTCGATGTTTACACGACCTGTTGTGGAGTGTGGCAGGGTCACGAGTAACCATCAAACATACCCAGGTGATAACTGAACAACTCACTCGACAATCAACCACAAACAAAATATAACGTCATATCGGACACATCAAATTGTCGACAATAAACCCGCAGCTTGTACACTACGAAAACAAACGACCAGTAGTAGACACTGTATTCACACCTGTTATAAAATGTAAAATATTTCTAATCGTCTTGATAACAGGAGCCACCATGTACGAAGCGACTTCAATATTACCCTTAATCAGCACTTTTAACTACAGTTGAATACAAGTAACGAGCTTCTAGAACTGATGGTTTCACAAACAAATTTATCCTACCTCTCCGATCCTCCTTCGCCTCCCAAATGATTAAATCTTCCAAGAAATGTATTTCTGATGCTACGTCAGACAATATTATAGGTATCTGGTAATCCCTGTCTATTAATAGATCCTGGGAAAAGCCCGAGTCCGGTTATTTCCACATAGGCAAGGAACAGTGAAGCTGCCAGCCAATCAGCAGTTCTGGACTTTCCTAATGATATTTCAAAGTTCCACTTGAATTGAAGATTTAGAGCATGTTATGTCTATTCGAAACCGAGAGCTCAAAAGGTAGGTTCCTGCATCTTGTTCTCTTTCGCAAAATTATATGCATTTGTATATTTCCTCTCAGAAGAAAATTTTATAATTTTCATCATATTTATTTATATATCTATGTCATGAATATGTTATGTGCCTCTTGCATGGGACTTTCAACCTGTGATCCAGTTTCTGAACCTTGGTCTTTTTCTCAGTTGTAAATGACGTTTTGTTCCCATGTGGCAACTTTTCTGCATCCCTAGC